CACAATGAATGATTTTATCGCTAAACAAAAAAATGCTTTCAAATTATATAAAAATTTTTTAAAAATATTTTATCCATTTTTTCGAAGAAAAGTAAGATAGTTTAACTGTAAAAAAATTATTTCAAAAATATATTACCCGTTTTCACATTTTAATCGGATTTTAATTTGAGAAGAAATTTTAAATATTCAGTTAATAATTAATTCGAAATGATTCAATTCAAAAATTAATTTTTTTTAATTTTTAAAAAAATTAAAATTTTTGATAATTTTTCTTTATAGAATTTTTTTTGAGAATTAAAACTTGCTTTTATTTTCAAAAACGGCAATGAAGTTATAGAAATATTTTTTCTAGTTAACAATCTAAATTTTATCTAAAAGAAATTACTAACAATAATTATTCTGAACGTAATTAATGAAATTAATATAGTAAGAAGTAATTGCTGAACATAATTAAATTTTTATTACATTAATTAGAAGACAATTATTATCACAAATAAACAGATAAGTCATTTAAATGATGTTCAAGGCTTTCAATGTTCATGACTTTCAGGGGAAACAACTGCTTTTAATAAATGGTGAGTTTCAGCGGTAACTGCTAGCAATTTCGTCAATGTACCGGAAATCTCTTTTAATAGATCTGTCGATTCCTCGTGCATTTTCTTGACATCATTGTTGACATCTGGGCTCTAGAAATAAAAAATGTTGAAGGTAAACAATATGCAATGAAAAGAGTATTTTTTAAATATTTTAAAAGCAGACAATTTTTAATAGACACGAGTTTTTTCAGGATTGCTACAGTTTCAAATTTCCAAAATTCCCTGACTTTTCCAGGTTTTCCTGACCATTTTTTTGAAAATTCCCTGACCAAATGTAAAATTGTTGTAATAAAGGTTTAGTTTATTTGTTTATAAAACAGTTTAATGAAACTTACAATAAATTATTTATATAGTTTTTCTGGGTTGATGTATATATCAGAGAAATTAAGGAATTCAGAGAAAAGTCAAGGAGTTATATCAAAAGTTCTATAGAAAAATAACAAATTTTTAAAATTAATACAAAAATTCTGATTTTTGAAAAACACAAAACCTTAATTTCACCTTTCAAATTTCATTTTCACATTAAAGATTTTGGAATCTTAAGGAATTTAAAAATAATTCCTGAAATTTTGCTTATATCTGTAAATGATTAAATTTATTTTAAATAAAATAAATAAAATTAAAATAAAAAAACTCTTTAACATTATTCAGGTTAATTAATTCTATTAAAGTTATAAAAATTTTAGTTGGAAAAAATCCCAATTTTCAATGATAATTGAATTTCTTGAATAAATTTTATGGAAAAAAAATCAAATTAATTGAAATTTTGTAAAATTTTCTTAAAATTAATACAATTTGTTAATTAAATACTTAATTTAAAAATTATTTAAGTTTTAAAAGATTTTATTAAAATTCTAAAATAATTGTTTTTGATCATTTTCAAAAATAAAATTATGTAACAAAATTCAAGTGTCTTAAACAATTGAGTTAAAAAAATAATTTGAATTGATTTTTACAAAGATTTATATTACAATTTTTATTAAGAAGAAAATTTTAAAAAGATTTAAATTACTTTCTTTTAATAGAAGTTTCGAAAAAATGTATTTAAAATTCTAAAAATTTTGGTTTATGAAATATTTCAATTCTCTTTTTGATAATTGAATTGAAGATGATTGAAACTTTATAAAGAAGTAATTGAAAATTTGTGAAGCAATTGAAATTTTCTAAATTCTACTAACAGTTATTGAATTTTAAAAAAATTTTATTTTAATTTTTATAAATAATCGAGGGAAGTTTGATACAGTAACTAATTTTATTTTTAACAGTTTTAATTTTTTTAGAAAGATCAGGAAAAAAGTGAAAATTTTACCTGGAAATCAGGGAAAATTTAGGGAATAATTTGTTAAAAAATTTGTTCTGTATCTAAGTTGTCAATTTAGTTATAGGATTTTTTAAAAATTTGATGCGAGAAAAATGAAAAATAAAATGAATACGAAACTTTTATTTCATCTAGAATCATTGGTTTAAATAACAAAAATAGAAAATAGAATTGTCAACTTTAAATTTCCGCGATTTAAATACGGCAGATTAATTTTTTAAACAAAATTATATAAAATTCCCTGACTTTTCCAGGTTTTCCCTGACCGAAAAAAAATTCCCTGACAATTCCAGGTTTTCCAGGACAGTAGCAACCCTGTTTTTGTTTCGGTCTATGTGTTTTTCTGTTGTGTATTGTGCCCTAACATGAAACCTTTTTTAAACGATATTCAAGTCGTGCCGAAACATGGCATTATCAGAAATATTAGATTCATTTCGTGATTGTTTGCTTGAGTATTATTTAATGTGTATGAGGTTTTTATGTTGAAATTTTATTTTTTAACTGACCGAGGACTTAGACGCTTGTCTCAACTTTTCTAAGAGTGCAATGCCGCCTATTTTTGCAGGTTTCCCGGTCTCATCGGAGGAAATTTTTCTTTTTTTTTCTTTAATTGGCTCACTTGAATGATTTAGTCGTGAAGTAGATGGCTTTGGATCGTTTTCATCTTCAATAACGCTCTTTTTATTCAGTCCAATCAACATAAAGAGAAGAGGTGTGATTTGATAATAAGTATATATATAACAAATAAAAAAAATGATAAGGAAAAATTCAAAATAGAAAGTGCAAATTTCAAAATTAAATAAATAATACCTTTTTTTGTTGAATTGGTGGATAATCATCAAATTCTTCATCTTCTTCGGAAGAAGATGTAATAGAAATTGAATTCTCGGGATTTAGTACGATTTTCTTCTTTTCTTTATCTGCATTTTTTTCGGCTATATTTCCACTTATCTTTAAAAGTTTCTCCTCTAAGTTATTGAGACTGCTCTCTTCTTTAACTTTTTTTAAGGTTTTAGTTAACCACGATGACAAAACCTATTTAAAAATTGTATTTTTTAATATTAAGATTAATTAATCTTCTCTTTGTTAGATTTGCATTACAAGTTTCGCGGTATTTTTTTCATAAAATAAGTAAAAAGTCGAGACAAAGTTATGAAGAAAATTTATAAATCACATTATATAAAAAAAATAATTTATATCTATTAAAGTTTCCATTAATTGAAATGTGTATTAATAATTGAACACTGAGACATTTAAAATTTGGTTAGAATTGCAATTTTATTAATAATTGAACACTGAGTCTTTTAAAATTTGGTTAGAATTGCAATTTTGATCGATTGAATGTGAGTTATATTTAATCTAAATGAACTGAAAATTAAGTGGATTAAAATTTCTACAAATCGAAATTTAGAACGATTAAAATTTGTATTAATTTAAATAAATTGTAATTTAAAGAATTGAAATTTAGATCGCATAATTGAGTTTTAAGCTGACGATTCAAATTATATTGAATTGGAATGTTAGGACAAATTAATAGTAAGATTTATTAAAATTGAGATGAATTAAAATTTTGATAAAAAATATAATTAATTAATTTTAATTAATTGTAAGAAGTAATTAAATAATTTTACCTTTTGCCATTTGTCGTAAGTTCGAGCGTTTAACTGGTAGTTTGATGCATTGAGATTTTTTGATAATTTCTTCCATTCTTCCTCATAATCTTCCTTCGTAAACTCTGAAGAGAACGATTTTGTTAATAGGATTGAATTTTTTTCTATTGACTCGAGAATTAGTTCTTGTTGTTTGTAAGTGATGCGTCCTGTTCGCTTTTTTGCAGCCATTCCTTTTTTAGGCACTAAAAGTTTTTATTAATTATTATGTGAGTGCATAATTGCTTTATGAATAAATTATTTTTTTCATAATTTATTAGGTAAATTTTCGTATCATCACTTACTTGGAATCTTTAGATTGAAGAAGTGTTATAATGCAACGATATGCAGCAAACTGAAGCGTTGCTAAGAAGAAATAAAATGAATATTGTTTCATAAACAAAATTTTCCGTGTAAAATTATTTTTTGTTTCAATTGTTTTCATTGTAAGTGACGTAAAAAAATTTCAGTCTGAACTTAATTTATTGAATGAATTTGGATAAAAACTATTTAAAAAAATAGTTTAATTTTTGTCGACTTTCGAAATAGTAAAAAAAATTGTTACAATTTTTGGTTAAAAATCATTATTGTTTATCAAGAAATTAATTTTTTAATATATCTTTTTTGGTAATACTAGAGACATTTGTATTAATTATTTGTAATTTTTATTACAAAAGAATGATCTGTCGAATAACACAAAATTATGTTTAAATTAAATAAATAAAAAGTGATAAAAAATATTTGTTTTTAATTTACAGATTTCGTAGTTTTGTAACAACTGATACTGTCTTAAGAACGGTTCTTACACTTTATACGTTGACATTTAAATGAGTTGGAGTGGATCTAATAAAAGTATTAAAAGTAAATAGTTTAAGGTAAAATTTTTTCTGGTTTTTTTAGTTTTCAAAACTTAAATTTTTAATATTAAATAAAAATAGTTGAAATTTTTACGATTAAAAAATTTTTTATGAATGAAATTTAAGGTCGGTTAAATATATAATTAATTATTATTTTAAGTAATTAAAATTGAAATGTATTGAAATTTGTGTGAATTATATTTAAGGTTTATTAAAAATAGTTTTAAATAACATTTAGTCGATTTCAAATCTGGATATATTAAATTTAGAGTCGATTAAAATTTAAATCATCGAATGTTTTAATAAAAAATGAAAAAAAAATGATTAAATAATAATGATTAATGATTCCTAGATTTAATTTAATTAATTAAAAACAGTAATATTAGTTGCACAGTTATAAGTTTTTAATTTAAAAATTATTTTAACAAGTAGATTTTACATAACAAGTAGTTTGAACGTAATCAATGAAATTATTATAGTAGTAAGTAGTTTCTAAACGTAATTAAATTTTTATTACAAAGTAGAAGACAATTATTATAACAAATGAACAGATAAGTCATTTAAATGATGTTCAAGGCGATTAATTTTTGTCATGTGAAACAACAGTTTTCAATAAATTTTGAGTTTCAGCGGTAACTGCTAACAAGTCTGTCAAAGTATCAGAAATTTTTTTTAATGAATCTGCTGATTCTTCCAGACACTCTTTTACTCCCCTATAAACTTCTTGGACCTAAAATAAATTAAAATGTTAGTATAATTTCATAAACATTCAATTTTTTTATAAAATAATTTCATTTAGAGCGATTCTAGAACGAGCTTCTTCCAACGTAGACACAACGCATCGCAATGTTTATCGCAATGGGGATTTGTCACGTCTGTGTTGCGTGAAGCCCATTTTGGAGTCGGCCTTAGGAATTTTTCTTAAAACATACTAAGGACTTTGAAGGTTGCTTTAATTGAGGACTGCCTGGTTTTTTAAGAAATGGCTTAGTCATAATTATAGATGATTTCCGTTTCTTTTTATCGATTGGCTTCGGTGCAACAGTTTTCTCATATTCAATGACGTTTTTTTCCTCCTCCTGTTTAATCTACAAAGATCGAATTATATAAGGCCTCGGATCGACTTTAGGGGTGCAAAAGAAATCGCTTTAGACTGTACTATCACTCAGGGAAAATTTTTATTTTACTTTAATCAAAGAGTTTAGTTAACCTATTTTATTTGATTCAATAAAACAGTTTTGTTCATTACATTAAAAATTTTGTTAATTCTAAAAAATGCATGAAATTTATTTTGTTTACAGAAATAAAAAATTTATTTTGAACAATGTAGGGTCAGTCGGGGTAAATCCGAACGGGGGGTAAATCCGAACGCTAATTATTTCAGCTTAATTAAAATTTTTAAAAATAAGTTCGATATGAGAATTTTTACCTCAGATCCTCTTGAAGAGATTCTAAGTATTATCCCATTTTTTGTTTGTTAATTAGCAACAGCATAAACAAAGATAACAAGTATTGCAAAAAAGATTGAAAATCAAAGATGACACTCTTTCAGTATTTTGTCTCGTATTTGAAGAAAAAGAAGCTAAAAATTCATTTTATTATTTATAATTGTTTGTTATGAATACTAGAACAGAAACTATATTTGATTTTTGCCTTCTGTAAAATTTTATTAATAATATCAGACCGTTCGTATTTACCCAAGAAAATTGGAAAACTGGGGTAAATCCGAACGGTATTTTTAATAATTTTTTTTTACATCAGAGCCACACAAAATTGTTTTTTTTTTATTATACTATTATTTTAACATTATAAAAGTACATAGAAAAAAGTTTTTCTTTCTATATGTATCCTCGTTAGTAATTAATAAGCAGAAACCTAATCTCTATTCTCTCGAAGGAGTGTTTCAATTTTTTTGCCAAATGGTTTGTTGAAAAAAGTTTTTCAGGATCTTAATAAAATTTGGTATTCTACGGTTTTTGGGGTCGCTAATTACCAATTTGAAGTCAGTTTTTCAAAATTCAAAATGGCGGACGAGAATTAAAAAATTCATTGGCTTCGCTCGAAAATTGTTACTCGGGGGGTTTCAGGGTTAGCAAATTTGATCATTTTTAAAAATAAGTTTTAGGAAAGTCCGCCATTTTGAATTTAAAAAATTTGACTTTTATTTTTGTATTTACATTCAATCACTCCAAAATACTTTCTGTACCAAGTTTTGCAAAAATCCGTTATGATTTGATAAAGTTATTGAAGGTTTTAATTGTGTAATGCATTTTAATTTTTAACCTGTTTGATTTTTGTATTTATATATGATGCATTATTACATAATAGGTTTATTATCGTATTTTTTTTGAGTTTTTATATAAGTTTAACAATTGCAATACTTTAAATTTATTTTCCCTAAGATTTTTCTGAAATACAGTGGCGTTCGTATTTACCCCCATATTTTAGGAAAGTTGCAAAGTATCGAGGTAAATACGAACGCTAAGTTTCCTGCGATTGTAATTTATCAAAAATTTTTTCTACCCCATAAAATTGTTCTATGGAAGTAAAGTAACAACTTCATGAACCAGAATACCGGAAGTATTCTTTTTTTAAAGAAAAAACTTCTGTTATTGTTGAAACTTACTAAAAGCGTTCGGATTTACCCCGGTTGACCCTACTTTGTTTCACTGCACCAAATAATGTAGTTAAATTCAAGTGCTTCGTGTTTAAAAAAATTATTTAGTGTCTGAAGTAAATGTTTCCCAGTGGGCACGGGGACATAGGATGTCGTTAGAACGTCCCTAGGACATCCCTAGGATGTCCACGTCCGTTCAAAAGACGTCCCAAGGACATTTTATGTCCTAAAGACGTCTTTTGGACATAAGATGTCTTCAGGACGTCTTTTGAACGGACGTTCAAAAAACGGACGTCCTAAAAACATCCTATGTCCTTGTGCCCACTGGGTTAAATCAAAAGTCGAGTTGATATCAGCGCAAATTTTTCAGTTTAGTATAGGTATCTATAAAAAACACAGGAAATCAAGAGATAAAATTTTTTATTGTCAATGTGATGTATTTATTTGTTTAATTTAACCAAAATTTAGTTGTTTCAAAAAACTTATTCTGAGTGCTAGATCAAAAAAAATGGATTTCTTAATTCTTAATATATTTTATTAGCTAATAAATTCTGTGTTGCCTATGATATAAAATATCTTCTATATATTATTGACATTATTATTTATTTATAATATTTTGGAATTGAATCAACAAAAATTTCATTCTTTATTAAGAATAATTCTCACAAATATTTTCAACAAACATTATTTAGAATATTGCAAATTTTAATATTAATATGAATTAAAAAATTATAAATTAAATATTATTCTCATATTTTTATAAATCATTCAAATTAGAAACATCAGTTTTTCAAAATTCAATTATTTAATTTCTTCACGGACTTAATTTCTGCACGGACTTAAAATTTGACTATTTTATTTGAAGGGTTAGGAGTTTATCTCTGAAATATTTTGCCAGATTGTAGAGCTGAATTTTAAAAACAATTTTTAACAATAAAGTGATTTTAGAAAAAAAAGGATTTTGTTGTTTTTGGACCAACTAATACAATTAAACTATTTTCAAAAAATATGAAAATTGATAGGAAATTCGAAATAATAAACCTAAACTAAAAGTAATGAAATTTCGCAATAAATTAAAAATACCTTTTTCTGTTTAGAAGGCAGCAAATCAGTTTCAAAATCTTCATCTTCCTCGGATGAAATATAATGAGAATGAATATTATTTTCCAGAATTTTCTGTTTGTTTTCGTTAAACTGTAATATTAATAGGGACACAAAAAAATTGAATGTTTTTTTTAAAAGTAATTTCTATGTTTATTTTTTATAAATAATTTCTTACCTCATTATGAAATTCCAACAAATTTCCATTTATTAATAAGAGTTTCTGTTCAATAATATTAAGGTCATCACCTTGATTAATTTTTTCTAAAACTTTTCCTATCCAAGATGACAAGGCCTATTTAAATATTTGTTAATAAAATATAAAAGTAAATTAATATTATGAAAATTATGTAAATCAGGAAAAAAGAGGTTCATTCAAATGTATTAAAATGAGTATATTAAATTACAAAAATGGCATTGGTTTGGATTAAAAGCGTGAAGAAGTTTGGTCATATTTTCAATCACTTTAATGTGCTTTCATTTAGTTTTATTGAAAATAATTAAAGTGTCATCAATATTTACGTTATAAAGTGAATTAAATTGGTTCCAAACTTTCGTGGCATTGAACAGAATTAAATTGATTTCAATCCTTTCTACCCTACCGGAATTAAATTATGTACAATTTTCGTCAAGAATTGAAAAATATAAAAATGTGTACAGACGAATTGTCATGAAAGGAATTAAAACATGAAAACTAAAAAATGACTTTAGTTCGGAATTAAATGGTTTATAATTCATTTTAATTCTATAGAATTGAACCATATTTGTAATCATTTTAACTTTTTTCAATCAACCTCTTTTTATAAGGATTGTTACCTAAAGGTACACTCTCACCTCCGGCTGCCTGCACAGGCAGCCAGCAAGAACCAATCAGAGAATCAGAAGATTCAAATTTGAATTTTCTGTCTCTCTTACTCTTGGACGTTTTCAGCTTGGTGGGAGGCTGCCTGTGCAGGCAGCCGGAGGTGAGAGTGTACATTTATCATATGCGGATAAGTTTAAAATTTCTAAAATAAAATTATTTCCAAATTTTGTATCTAAAATAATGAGCTGAATTATTTAAATCTAATAATGTTAATCGAAATTTTTTTGAAAATTCAATTATTTAAAACATTTCCCAATTCAAAATTCTTCAAATTTTAATTTTTGTTTGAATATTACAAGTAATTCAATTTTTAAAAAATTGGTTTAAAATAATGTGTGAAATAATTATAATTATTGAAATAATTATAATTTAGAGAAGAATTTTAAACATATATTTTAGAAAAAATTAAAAATTTAGATGGTATGCAACAAAAATTTTAATAAATTTAAATGCATGAAAATATTTTACAAAGTTGTAACAATAATTGAATTTTAGAGAATTTCAATTAAAAACTGTTTAAAAAATTTGAATTTACGAAGATTTTTGAAATAAGTAATAAAAATGTTTGTAAATTTGAATAAATTATTTTTAAAAAAATTCGTTACTGCAACTCTTTCAAATTCAATTAATAATTGAATGTTAATTTCATTGAAAAATTTTTGGCCATATTATTGTCTATAGAATTATTTTGTTTAAATAATTATTTCAACAATTTTAATCCAATTTTTGAAAAGTTCAATTATTTATAACGTTTTTTAATTAAAAATTCTTTAAAATTCAGATACTTTTTGAAATTTTGTAAACCATTCAAATTTATAAAAGTTTACATTGCAAATTTCCTAAAATTCAATTATTTCTAAAAATTTTTAATCAAAATCTTCTAAATTCAATTATTTTTAAAATTTTAATTAAAATTCTTTTGAAATTCAATTATATTTCAAATTTTCATCTAAAATTTTCAATAATATTTTTATCAATTTAGAAGCAACATTTTGACAAAAATAAAAAATGTGCGATTTTAAAAAATATAAAATTTTATAATTTTCCCAAAAAATTTCAGTTAACTCATATGTCAATTTTTTTACTGTTTTGTTTTTATAAACAGTAAATAAAAATAAAGAATTAGTTTTAGAACAATTTCAGATAGTTAATATTTCGATAATTATTGGTTTTTGCAAAAAACTAAAATTTTTAAACTTTGAGCCATTGTAAATTTTCAGAAATTACTTAAATAAAAAATGTGCGATTTTAAAAAATGAAAAAATTTATTTTGATAATTTGCAAATTAAAAATTTTTTTTTTACTTTTGAGACAGTAAATACAAATTTTAAAAAATCAAGTTTTTCGAAATTTCAATTTTTTTTTTATCAAAAATACTTTTCGATTTCGGCATTATAAAAATATAAAATTTTACAAAATTTATACGCGTAATTTTATATATGTGAATATATTTTATATATTTATTGCATATACATGCAATAAATTATTATTATTACCTCTTGCCATTTGTCTGAAGGCATAGCATCTACATGATTGTTAACTGCATTAAGAATTCTTGATAAAATCGCCCATTCTTCATCGTAATCTTTTTTGGTGAACTGTTTTGTAAAATTTTTTGATAACAAAATTGGATATTTTCTTAAGAACTCGACCATACGTTCTTGATGCTGACATGTCATATTTGTTTCCTCCTGCTTTTCAGACACTATGATACATCATGATTATTAATAATTTTGCATGTATATGTATAATCGTTTCTATTACAGTCATAATTTATATAAAACAACATTTGAGTGCGTTACTTACTTATTTCAATTATAATTTTCCAGAAGCGATTCGATACGTTCCGCAGCAAACTCAAGCAAACTAAAACCGTTAATGATAAAGAAAAAGAAGATCGATTTATATAGTGAAAATTTTCCGTATAAACTGTCTTTTGTTTTAACATGTTTCTTTTAACTTCAGTGTATGAGGCTGAAGTCCGGGTCAACGTGTTGCTGCAAAAATTGAGCAATAAAAATATGATTTGAAAACAAATATTTTGGTAAACATAACCTTTTTGCCTCATTTTAATAACAGTCCATTCCCGCCAAAGCTCATTTTCAAAGGCATTCATTTTCTCCAGGGCACGGAAAGAAAAGTAATATAGTAACAGTAATAGAGTAAAGGCGCATTCAGACCTCTGCAGTCTGTCTGCCTGCAGGCAGACGGGGCAAGGGGGTCGCATGAGTGTAAGCGAGAAAGAGAATTCAAATTCAAATTTTTTTCTCGCGCACACTCTTACGTTCCCCTTGCCCCGTCCGCCTGCAGGCAGGCAGGCTGCAGAGGTCTGAATGCGCCTTAAGAGTGACTAAACCCTTTGTGCAAATCCAACTCTCCATTCTCTCTTAACTCTGGCGAGCACACTCAATATTGCAAACTGGTGAAAATGGGTTCTTTCGGGAATGAACTGTTATCTGTTATCATAAAAAAAGTTAAATATAAAGGTGAAAGCAATTGACACGAATCTCGGTTAAAGTGCAGAATAGGGGCCTAAGTCCGATGTTGTCTATGTTTAATAAAAAGGAATATTATTATTATTATATATTCCAATATACTAATGTAATTCTACAGTTTAAATCGAACCTTTTTTAAATTTAATCAAAGAAATAGTTTTTAATTTCTTCTTCTTTCCCAATCTCAAATTTGTTAAAAATTATCGTCCTTCGTTAAATCAATTTTTCGTATTCTTTAAATTGACCTTTATTAAAATTGCATTTAATTTTAGTTCCTCTTATTTCATTTTCATTTATCTGCACCTTTGTGTTTACTCCTATAAATTTCAATCTTGCAAAATATACATTTTCAATTATATCCTAACCAAGAAATATACTACAATTAATAATAATGTGTTTTAGCGAAATTATAATATATCATTATTATTACTTCTCTTTATTATTAACTAGAATTATTTTATTAACAGTCTTTCACTAAAATTTATTATGAATATCTTTTTTAAGTAATGTACATATACATAATACTTAAAAGAACATTGTTGCTCTAAATATTTATATATTCAATAAAAGCACATTAGTTTCCGGTTGACAAAATCAACAAAATATTATAATCAGCGAAAATAACAATTAATTTCATAAAAACGAAACCGCATTGATCTTAAACACTCATGTTATATGAATGTGACAACAAAAGAATGCATCGCTGAACACACTAAAGTTGAAGAATACATTGAAATAAAAGACAGTTTGTACGGAAAAGTTTTAATATAAATCGATGTTCTTGTTTCTTATCAACTGTTTTTGTTTGCTATCGACTATCATTTGATGACAACGTTTTTCGAATATTAAAATTTGCAAGTAAGTAACTGCAAAAAAATTTGACATGTAAATTGTAAAAGTATTATTTATAAAAATCATGAAGATTACATTTGAAAACAATAAAAATTGTAATTTTTCAGTGCTTAAAAATTGGAAGGGACAGAGGCGCATAGGCCGCGTCACATACAAACAACAGGAACTCATTATCGAAGCTTTGGAGAAAAATCCAATTTTATTGTCAAAAAAATGTACACCGCAATTTACCAAAGAACAATATAATAAAACATGGGCAAATTTAACGAAAATTCTTAATGCAGCAAACTACCAACTAAATGCTAAAACGTGCGACAAGTGGAAAAAGGTAAAAATAATCATTCTTATACCTTCACTCTTCCTGTTCTTTCATAATAATAACAATAAATTTTTCGAATATGTCATCTTTCTTACTTGCATAAAAATTTATAATTTTCAGAAGTTCAACTCTTCATTTTCGTAAAAAGTCTAATTAAAAATATTTTTTAATTTGTATTCATTATAAATTATTGCACGCTCAAAATAAAAGAAACTAAAAAGCAAATCATTTTGAGGTTATGTTTGATACAATTTTATCTTAATTAAATGTTTCTATTTCATATTATGTAAAATCAAATATGGTTTTTATTGGATTTTTTAATTCCAAAAAGTTTGTCAAGTTAATGATTTATTATTGGTCGCGTAAACTACTGCTTTATATATTTATTTTTTACCCGAATTATCATTTTGATAAATAGCATTTAACAGAATTTTCTTGCAAGTGACCTATTACTCAATAGAATTTTAATTCAGCGAATTTTTTGACAGAATGGTTATTTAAAAAATTTCTCTTTACCCAAATATTTTTTTTCTAATAATTCTAATTGAATAGAATTTTTAATTTAACAAAATTCTCATTCAATATAGAATTTCAAGTACTTCGAATTTTTTAATGTCATAACTAAAATAATTGTTATTAGAAAGAATTTTTAAAAATATGGATTTCAATTGTCTGAAAATTAAAAGGGCTAAACTAGCAATCGAAAGAAAATTTTTGGCGTAGATTTAAAAATTTGTTATTAAAAATTATTTTAAAAAACTGATTGTTAAATTTTAAAATTCACGCAAAAAATTTTTTTTTGTTAATTTGAATTGCTGTAGACATTTTATAAAATTCAGTCAATAATTAAATTGTAGAGAATTTTGAGTTGCAAAAAATTATTTAAATTATTATTTATTATTATTTTATTCATTTATTATTATTATTATTTTATTTATTTATTATTATTAAATTATTTAATTATTTCAATTATTTTTTTATGAAAGTTTTAGTTTAAAATCTTCTGAAATTCAATTATTTCTCAAAAAAAAATTTCACTCCATTTTTACAAATTTAATTAAAATTAATTGAATGTTAATCTAATTAAAAAATTTTTCTCCAAATTCTTGTCTATAAAATTCTTTGTTTAAATAATTATTTCAACAATTTTAATCCAATTTATGAAATGTTCAATTATTTAAAACGTTTTTTAATTAAAAATTCTTTAAAATTCAGTTACTTTTTGATATTTTGTAAACGATTTACATTTATAAAAGTTTATATTGTAAATCTTCTGAAATTCAATTATTTCTAAAAAATTTTAATCAAACTCTTCCAAATTGATTTTGTTTCAAAACTCCAAATTGATTCATCATTGAAAAATTTTTTGATGTATTTTTATTAGTGATGCACGACGAGAATCTATTCTTTCATAAAAGAAATGAGAGGAAAAAATTACATTCATTTGTTTTCATTGTGTTTTTCACAAGATTCTCGTTTTTTCGAGCGATTTCTCACTCGAATGTATCACTAATTTTTATGTTTTTCGACCCTAGGAATCCAAAAATGACATTTTTAAAAAATGTCGTTCCATATGTGTATGTATGTGTGTACAAGCATAAGATTTTCATAAATATCTCGAATAGTTTAAGAGTTAACGGGCTTAATTTTATTTAAAATTTTACATCTCAACGGCTGTCAAATAATAAGAGTACTTTGACCCAAATTAATCGAGTTAAACTAATTTTTTTTTGCATTTTAACATTAAAAAAAAATTTTTTTTTGCCCTTAACTTTAAAAAAAATGTATTGATACCTATGGATATTTTTTTATTAAATTTATAGAATTTTTCAAGATGTATATGAAGAGCTTTTCAAAGCGAATATTTGACCAATTAACGAACATTCTACAGTAATTATGTTCAGAGTTATTGACATTTTTAAATTGAAAAATTTTTAAAAAACATTTTTTTTACATTATTAAAAAATCTTTATATAACTTTATAATTATCTAAAAATATTTTAAAATGCATCGATTGACCTATTTACGAACCTTTTACTCGAAAATTTTTTCGAAGTTATTAATGATTCAACAAAAAATTCTTAAAAAACGTGAAATTCGGTATAAAATTTGTATTATTATTTTATCCGTTATACCGATATGAAATTGGCTAATTACCAATCATTTTTAAATATACTTATATTTCCATAATTTTTTTATTAAAATTATTATTATCACAAATAAGTTACAGTAAATTGATTACAAAAAATCTCCTTCAGGTAGCAAAGTGTTCATGGAATGAACACAAAAAGTACTTTTTTCATGAGGAAGGAATTTATTAGAGGTGCGCAAAAAGCTCGAAGCTCGACCAAGCTTTTTCGAGCTTTTCGACTTCCGAGCCGAGCCTTAATAATTCGAGCCCGAGCCGAGTTCGAGCCGAGCTGTGAAAAAAGCTCGAACATTTTCGAGTACTCGAAAATGTTCGAGTATTCATTTCAATTAACTTAAAATATTTAAATATTTCAAGTAATTTTCTATTTTTTGATGAGTTTATAATTCCAAATGAGCAGTTATTTATTTATCTGTTGTCTTATTTAGGAATTTTTGAAAAACAATGAAAATTAAACGTTTAATATGATTGAACTCACTCGAGTACTCGACTCATTTCGAGTACTCGAATTCACTCGAGTGCTTGAAAAATTCGAGTACTCGATACTTCGAGCCAAGCTCGGGCTCGGCTCGAAAAAATTTCGGCTCGGCTCAGCTCGGTCATTCGAGCTTTTTGCACACCCCTAGAATTTATACTTCCACTTGGCAGCGTTTTCTTAAAATGTTTAATTAAAAATTTTCTGAATTGTTTCTCAAATTTTCATTTAAAATTAATTTTTCTCAATAATATTTTTCGATCAGAGTTATTGTTAGACTATTAGAGTATTATTAGACATTATTTTTTCAACAAAAAATTAAGTCAAAATTTATAAAAACAATTCAAGTTTAGAAGATTTTGAAATAAAATTTTAGTAAATCAGAACTCAACAAAAACATCTTCGATGCAAAAAGTTACGCCAAGTAAAAATTGTATCAACTTTCAGAACAATTTGTGAAATGAACGTTAACCAAGTAAAATGTACGACCAGCTTAGATTTTAATTAGTTTCTTCAATTGTATTTTTAAAATATGCGCGCATTTTAGAAAAAGTGAAATAGAGTAAAATAATTATCAAAATAATTAATTGAATTCTGTTTTCTAATTAATAAAAATCTGTATCACAAGCAATAGTGAAAAACTTGGCGTGAATAATTTTTTTTTTCATGTACATATATTGTTAACGGATTGAATCAGAATTGAAGAAAGGCTTAAAAAATCATTTTTATTTACATCTCAATTATTTACAAATTATTCACGCCAAGTTTTTCACTATTGCTTGTGATACAGATTTTTATTAATTAGAAAACAGAATTCAATTAATTATTTTGATAATTATTTTACTCTATTTCACTTTTTCTAAAATGCGCGCATATTTTAAAAATACAATTGAAGAAACTAATTAAAATCTAAGCTGGTCGTACATTTTACTTGGTTAACGTTCATTTCACAAATTGTTCTGAAAGTTGATACAATTTTTACTGGGAGTAACTTTTTGCATCGAAGATGTTTTTGTTGAGATTTCAAAACTTTTTGTTTAACTTTATGGTTGATTAGAGAATCGACAAAGTATTATATACTCTGTAAATCTGAAAAAGTAGAAACTCGTCCTGTTATTCAAATAAGTGCATATACACTCTGGGAAGGGGGAACAAGGAAGGGGGTGGTTGTCAAGGCATTTGTGACGACCTGTAGAAAAAATGACGCAAAAGTATGGAGCAGTTCATGACGTGGGGAAAGGGGGGAGGTAAAAAAAATCGTGTGACATACTGTGTGCACGACCCCTTTTCTAAACAACTTTTTTAAAAATTTTATTCGTTTGACTTCCTTTTGTCCAATCATCCTTAAATCTACAATTTAAGACAAATCGGTAGAGAATTATGGGCTCCACATGTGAGCAAAAATAAAAAACCTATTTTTTACCATAAAAAATTTATAATTTACAAATTTTTTAAGTGCAATTAAATATCCTTCATTATGTATCGAGATTTTGACCCATTAATTGGGTAAATAAATAATAAATAAATAATATATAATATAATAATATAATATAATATAATATAATATAATATAATATAATAATATAATATAATTATAAATATAATAAAATATAATAAATATAATATATAATATAAATATAATATAATAAAAATAAAATATAATAAAAATTATAAATATAATTATAATATAATTATAAAATATAATATAATATAATATAATAATATAATAATAAATAAATAAATACCCATAAATAATCTTAAGATTATGTGTGAATTTGAGACAAATCGGTAGAGAATTATGGGCTCCAGATGTGAGCAAAAATCAAAAAATTCATTTTTTACCATAAAAAATTAAAATTTTTTTAATTTTTTGAGTGCACTTAAAAATCCTTCATTATGTATCGAGATGAAGAATTATGGGCTCCAGATGTGAGCAAAAATAAGCAAAAAATATTTTTTTCCATAAAAAATAAAAAATTTCAAAATTTTTTGAGTGCACTTAAATATCCTTCATTATGTATCGAGATTTTAACCTAATTAAGATTATGTGTTAGTTTGAGAAAAATTGGTAGAGATATATGGGCTACAGACCTTGACAAATATTAAAAAATTGTTAATTTTTCGGTTTTTCGAGCCTTATTTTTATTATTCCCTAAGTACCTCAAAATTTTTTTTGCCTAAGTTATTTTTTTGACATTTTTTACTCGGCAAAAAAAAATTAAAGAAATCCGTAGCGATTTTTCGGAGATATGCAATTTTGGCCAAAAAATGCCGATTTTTTGAGAAAATAAATAAATTTAATAAATTCGCGGATTTTTTTTTTTACTTGGCGTCGATTCTCTACCGCGAATCTTGATATATTCGCGGATTTTTTTTTTTACTTGGCGTCGATTCTCTACCGCGAATTTTGATTTATGAAAGTTATTAATAAAACTTTAAACTACAATTGGATTTTGGAGATTTTTTAATTACAAAAAGATTTTTTCAATTGCATTTTTAAATAATTGGATTGAAATAATTAATTTAGCAAAGAATTTTTAGAAATAATATTATTTTGGAAGAGTTCGAGTTCAGATTGTTAGAAATAATTTAATTTTGGAGATTCTTAATTAAAATTGTTTCAAAATGATAAATATTTTATAAAAGCTTCAGATTCTAGGTTCTAGAATTTAAAAATTCGAATTTCTTTAAATTCTATTGAATGAGAATTATAAGAAATTAAAAATAGGTTAAATTATAATTCTTTTGAAAGCACAGTTCCGTAAAGAGAAATTTTGTAAAATATAAATTCGGTACTTTAATCTAAGAGACCGTTTATTTTTAATAATGATGCTTTTATATAAATGTTGCATTTTTTTAAATATGATGACTCTACAATTAATACGATGATTTTTAAATAGGTTCTATCTTCGTGGTTAAGAAAGATTACAAAATATGATTTGGAAACAGCCAAAATCAGTTTATTAGATGAGAGGCTTCTGACAATTAAAAATAATTGTCTAAAATCTGATAAAAACGTAAGTAATTTTTGAAAATACAATAATAAAAGGTAAAATTTTCTTTTTAACAAAATGTTTAAGTTTTTGATTTTTGTATTATACTGAATTATAACTATTATAGCTTGATAAAAGAGAAAATAAAAGGTCAGACAAAACAAGTGAATCTTTCAACATTTCATCAAATGAAGATGTAGATTTTGACACTGATACTTCGTCAATAAGCGAAACAGAACCACTTCCTAAAAAACAAAAACGTGCAAATCGGGTTACTTGTGAGCAACAACAACGATTATTAGAGTATATTGAAGAAAACAAAACACTTTTAACTAAAAAGTTTACTAGGCATCTATCAAGAGAATTGTATAATCGAGAATGGAAGGAGATTGCTATGGAATTAAATAAATTGAACAATGGAAGAAGTACCAAGACTGTGGCACAATGGCAGAGGGTAAAATATTTTTAATTTAATTCTTTATAATATATGAAGAAAATCACGAGAAATGGTTAAAGAGAAAAAATGGTTTTTTCTGGATTATTTTTTTTTAAATTAAAATGAATTTTTTTATTAAAATCAGTTTCTACAGCTTTTTTGATGCTCCTTTGATTGGTAATATGCATTAAAAAAAATGTAACCAAAAAAATGAAATTCCAAAATAAATTTGATGCTACTTTTTTTAAACTGAAGCTGAGGTTTTTTCCTATAAGAATAGTTATAGTTAAAAATAGTTAACCTTCGCTTGCCAAGATGCCCACCCAGGGTGGGCCAGACAAATTGAAATTGCCATATCTTCTAAAGTTTTGCCTTAATTGAATCGCGATTTTAAGTCACTGAACAAAATCTTAAGAACTTTCAAAAAATGTAAAAACAAATTTTTAAAAAAAATTTCTTCTTGATTATTTATAACTTTTATCAATGTATGTACGGAGATAACCGGGATGATTCAGATATTTTTTTAATTCTATTTTACAAAAAGACTTGAAATCATGCAGACTTTTCACTGTGAGTGTTTTATGATGTCAAATAATAGATATAAAAAATATTATATTGCATTTTTCATTTGTTTAAACAATTTATTGTTATTATTTATTAACTTTCTTTGTTCTGCACCTAGAAAGATGCAGTTTTTTTCTAATTTTGCAATTTATCAAGCGGAATATAATAAAAGATAGATTTGATGTAAAATTATTAATTCAACAATTGTTTAAACAATTATTGTTATTATTTACTAACTTTTTTTGTTCTGCACCTAGAAAGATGCAGTTTTTTTCTAATTTTGCAATTTATCAAGCCGAATATAATAAAAGATAGATTTGAAGTAAAATTATTAATTCAAGAATTGTTTAAACAAATAAAGTTAATAAATAACAACAATAAATTGTTTAAACAATCGTTTGAATACTAAATTCATATAAAATCTTCATATTTATTATGTTGAGCATGTTAAGTTGCAAAATTAGAAAAAAATTGCAACTTTCTTGGAACATTATAAAGAAAGTTAATAAATAGCAACAATTATTGGTTTAAACAATTGGTTAAATAGTAAATTCATATAAAATCTTTGTGTTATTATGTTGTGCTTGTTAAGTTGCAAAATTAGAAAAAATTGCAATTTTCTAGGAATATTATGAAGAATGTTAATAAATAGCAACAATTATTTGTTTAAACAATTTATAATAATAGTTGTTGCAAATTGAATTATATATTTTATTTTATTTATAACCTTTGAATTAATAACTACGAAGAAAAGGTAACAAATTTATAAAATTCTTCTACTGTCGTATGTATATTTGAAAAAGTTATAAATTATTAATAATAAATTGTTTAAACAAATAAAAAATCAACAAAACATTAATAAAATATATTATTTGGTAACATATAACAATTTTGGAAAAAAACTGAATGATTCTATGTTTTTATTGCAATATACAAAGAAGAAAACATTTGGCCCACCCTGGGTTGGATCTTGTCAACCGTGTATATAAAAAGTATCCAGTCCGGCGAAGGTTAAAAATGTGGGACTAGAATTTTTAGAAATTGAAAAATAGTAAAAAATGATCAAAAATAGCTAAAAAAAGAAAAAAATGTTAATTATCCATATTTTAACAATTTAGTCCCACTTTTTCAACTATATATTATTGTAGGAAAAAACCTCAGCTTTTGTTTTAAAAAAACTTCATTTTAGTCTTATCTTTTCCCCCAAAAAATTTTATTTTATTTTTGAATTTTATTTTTTTGTCAAAATTTTTATTTTCTAAAGTGCATATTACCAATTGAAAAAACATCAACAAAATTTTTAAAACTATTGTTAATACATTTTTTTATATTACAAAAAATTATTAACTTATGAGGTCTACCGTAAAAACTAGAGGTGTGCAATAACTCGAATTTTACATGGACTCGAAATTTTTGACATTTGCACAGCTCTAGTAAAAACCCAAAACTTTCAACTTCTCCCCCTCGGAAAATATTGGACTAAATTAAAAAATATTTATACACGGAATGAAATATCGGCCTATTTTCACATGAACATCTGATGCAAATAATGCACTTATACACCTATGCGTAATTTGCTTGAAATCCATGCCAAAATCGGATGGATTCATGTACAAATTACAAAAGCTATGCATTTTTCGCACCATCTGTAGTAACTTTTGCATACTAAGTTCATGGAAAAATTTAGTCGAAAAAGTCCATGGGTTAATAGCACGAAATTTTTTTCCTTGTATGAGTACTATAAAATGTCTCGATTTTAAACGTGATTGGAGAAAAAATTGTTTTAACCGTGACCACTTGGCGTGATATCCCCTATTTACACCCTATTTTAATTTTTATTGTAAATGCAAAATTTTTTTGTCCTCTTTTTTAAAGTGTCATTTTTATATTCTTTTTAAACTTAATTAAGAGAATGATGAAGTTAACAAGGTTTATGGTCAATGAGTTTCCAAGAATTTTTTTAAATGAAAAATTCTATGAATTCAAAAATATCAAAAATATTTTTTGTCATGTTTATTGATAAAAAATTAGAAAAAAAATTTTGTAGGTAAAAATTTGTATAATTTTCTATCTCAAAAACAAAATTTACCTATGACAGTTTTATGAATTTAAAAAAATCTGTGTTTTTAGAGTTAAGAACACTTTGCAAAAAGTTTTAGAGTAGTCCTGGTGATTCTTTTTGTTAAAATAATTTGTGTAAAACACATTTTTGTTCTTTTTCAATTTTTTTTATTTATCAAAATAAAGTGTATTTTAGTTTGCTTTTCTATAAGTAAAGTAAAAAATCTTACTAACCGAAAAACCTTTTATTTAGAAAAATAAAAAACAAAAAACTTTTTAAGCAAATTATTTAAACAAAGAGAATTATCAGGATCACTAAGATTTTAAAAAATTTATAACTCAAAAATTTGGGCTCTTATAAGGAAATATGTATACCTTTTATTCTGCGCAGAAAAAAAATATTTTTTGGAATTTAAAATGACATAGATGAATTTCACGTGGAATCGCCAATATGTACGTAACAATTAACATGTAAATGTTCGCCATATTTGTTAACATTTTCTCACTCATTTTCTCATCTTGATGATATTTTAAAACTAGTTTGAAAAGTGTTCATAGTAACAACAACTAAACTTTGTATTCAACTCTCTGTTCTAGTCATTTGTACTATAGTACAATACTGCCGTACGATGTAAAAACTCGGTTAAGTCACATTGTAGTTAAGGATTATTTTCGCGCAGTAAACTCTGTGAATATCGTCCTAAGCAACAATGTAAGTTAACCGAGTTTTTACATCGTACGGTAGAATATTATTTACTAAGAATTAAACAAGCGTTTACATAACAAGATATATTTTTATTATACCTTGTAATTAAGAAATACAATGATAGATATCAACCACTAAGGTATTGCCAACGACTGAGGCAATTACTCCATAACTTAGCGATTTTATTGAACCTTTTCACAATGACAAATTTTATTTTAGAAATTTCTTAGTTAACCAAATTTGCATTTTATTTATTAATTTATTATTAATTACTTTATTACTAATCTAAAGTAAGATTTACAAAGTTAGTATCTTCTAAAGTTTTTTATCACTGATTATGAATCTATAAAAATGTTCATAATCAATTATCAAAAAAGCCCCTAGTTTCATTTTTTATAAAAATTTATGCACTTTTTGAATTCCTTTATATTTTGGGGTGGTTACTTTGGATTTCAAAAATCTTAGTTCAAATGGGTAATCAGGGACTAAAAAACCCTTATTATTATAGAATTTTTTTATTTTAATTTCTTTTACTTTAAATATTAAGAATTTTTTTTATTGTAATAGGCGTTTAATAAAATTTTGATTGTATTTACTTTATAATGTAAATTCATACTTTCATACATTGTCATAATAAACATTAATATTAAAAAGGTTTTGTCATCCTGGGTATCAAAAACTAAAACTAAGTTAACTGATATAAAACGCTGCAAAAGAACTACGGGAAGGGGAAACTTCACTCAAGGAAACGTAAGCCTCACTGAGCTAGAAGATCGGCTATTAGCCGTGAAAGGAATGACGAGTGTACAAGGAGATGGCAAAACCAAAGAGATTGGTCTGTCCGAATCTGACGCGAGTGATGATGTATATATACCTATTGTAAATTTTAGAATCTAAATATTACTTACCTCGAAAATAATCATTTTTTTCTAAAAATTTATATTTTTAGTCTGAATTGGAAGATAATGATTTGATGGAAATCTCACCAAACAACACAGAAATCACCACTAACCAAAAACTTGTTGGAGATAAAAAGCAGAAATTATTAATTTGCAAAACACTACCATATCGTGAGAAGGATATTTTAACTTCCTTAGATAACATAAGAATGTCCTCAATGTCTTCAGTATGTATCAATCAAATTATACAAATTTTACAAAAAATTAATTTGTACTGGATCTTTTAAAAACAAATAGTGAACAAAGAGAGTGTTTTTTATTTAATCTTTTTAATTTTATTTAATTTCCTTTGAGATAGAAATTTTTTTTAATTTCACTCAAACTTGAATTTTACCGACTGTTCGATTGGTCGTTTCTTAAATCAGCGAAGCAAACTACCTTAAATAGACAATCCTCCTGCATTCAAATGCTCGAGTCACCCCCTTACACTTGATCTTTACACAATTATTTCGATTTCGAAAATCTTTTAAATACGCCTCAGTAAAATTGAAGTTTGAGTTTAATTACATTTTGATGAAAGTTTTCATTATAAATTTTAAAAAAGCCATTAAAAATATTCTGAGTACAATTCATTCATATCAATATTTACTTCCAGATCCAAGAAGTGAGTAAAGAGATGAACGAGAAATCAAACTTTATCTTGAAACAGATTTTAGATACTGTGACAAAATTATTATTAGTTGCGACAGAAATACTTAAACTGCTGAAGAAAATCATTTCTAACTAGAATAAAAAATCTCCTTATTAATTAACTGTTACCTATTCGACGATTTAATTGTATTAACATAGCTTGAAACATGACTTCACATATTTTTGTTGTTTAAGAACTTAAATTTTTAAAAAACATATCATTTTCCAAATATTTATTAAATATGTTAAGCTGAAAGTTTTTGAAAATTCATAAAATTATACAACCATTTTAGATATTTCAAACAAAATGCAGTACTTAATTGATCTATAAAAGTGTTGTATCTTTTTCCTTTAAATATCGAAAATTCCAAACTATACTGTTAATTCTGATTTATTACATTTTTCTTGTAACTTTCAATTGAATAATAATAATTAAAAAAATTGAAGTAAATAAAAATTTTTATAGTTAAAAAGTATATCTGACAAAAAAAATTTAAACTAACTGTCATAAACCAAGTGAAAAATCATTATCTTTAAAAACTATGTTATTAAAAACTAAATATTATTGAATATTAAATAATTAAATATTATTAAAAACTATTTTACGGTAAGAAATAACAAAATGACATCTTATGTTTAAACTAGTCTAGCAGATATTCTCATAAGAAAGCAAAGGAGACGGCCGCTTGCGATCGTCGTCAGCGTTAATTATACTATAAGGAGATGCATAATTGATAGATAATTATACTAGAACGTTTATTATTATTTTAAATGATAATTATTATTATTACTGTAAAATGCATTATTTATCTTTGAAACTTTTAAAAAATTTATTTTAATATAATTATTTTTCTTTTTCTGAAATTAAGAAATAATTATTATAAATTTATTTCTAAGTGGTTTGAAACAAAATAATTTTAATAATTTTATTATATTATTGTTATATTATATTTATTGTTAGTACGATAAATGATAATTATTGATATTAAGTGTATTGTTATTTGGATAAGATTTAAATATTGACAGTTGATTATTTCGAATCAATCAGTGAATGTAATTTTATCAATTACAGATAATATTTATTTAATTATTTTATATAATATAAACATATATTCATATATATTTATATATATGTATATATATATATATATATATATATATATATATATATATAATATAATTTAAATCAATTATATATATAATTAATTAAAAAAACATAAATATATACGTTTCAATATATAAGTGTAAAAAATCGATCAATTTTTTAATACTTTATTAACTTCAAATTTGTAAAAATTACATGTCACCAAGGTAACGAAAATAAACAAAAAATTCATTTTTAAATATTAGTCGATGCAATTAAGAGTTTGTGACAAAAGTTTGACAAAATCATTATTTATTTAAATTGTCATAAAAATTTGAATACTTTGTGTCATTTTAAGAAAAGGTAAGTATTTTCTATATTTTGTATAATTATAATTATTAATAAAATTTTTTCTCAATATTATATTTAACGATTGTAAGATTTAATTACAATAATTCATGCTTCAGAAATATAAAAACACTTAATTTTTTAAAACATTAATTCACAACTGTAACGGTTATATTTTCAATTAATTATCAGTAATATATTTCGGTTTTATATTTTCTTAAAAAAAATAATTTACACGTAAATAATCCTTGACAAGGCGATAAACTTTATCTGATTTTCTGTGTTATTATTTTCATAGATGCTACCTGCTAATTGGGCTTTAATTAATTATGAAAATGAGCTTCAAAAATTGGAAGAGATTCGGAGAAGGGAATTTCGTCAACTTCATTTGAAGCATATTGCTTTACGTATAAACAGTGATCCATTTACACTACCAGAAAAGAGATTTATTAATTTGTTTCGTCTTAATAAATATATGGTGCAGTTTATAATTATCACCCTAAAACCACACATGAGAATGTGTGCAAGATTTAATGGCATTGAACCAGAGTTACGAATTTTCGCTGCACTTATCTTTTATGGTACGGGTACTTATCAAAGAGTAACAGGCCAATCGTACCTCACCTGCATGTCTCAATCATCGATTAGCAATGCAATACATGGGGTGACAGAATTAATTAATTTATTGTTGGCTGACGAAATGATAAAATTTCCAAGAAGTGAAATCCAGAAGCAGGAAATATCTCAAGAATTCGAAGAAATTATTGGGTTCCCTGGTATTATAGGTGCCGTGGACTGCACCTTTGTTGCTATAATAAGGCCTATTAACGAAGAACATAATTATGTAAATAGACACCAACAACATTCAAAGAATGTTCAAATAGTAAGATCTTATTACATTAATAATATTGAATAGTTCATTTCAAAAAGTGCTGAATTCAGTTCTTTTTTTGCTTTAATTTTTCTTTTCTATAATTTTTGTATAATTACTATTATTTTATATAAATAATGTTAAAATAGTTCACTCAAATAAGAGTGGGTTAGAGAAAATTTTTATTACAGCCTTTTAAGTTTTTAATCTTTTTACTAATAAAACGGCACTAACAAAGAGTCTTGCTACGGAGAAATATAATTGTTACTTGTTTATTAAATTTTACATATAAAACAATTTTATTTATAGATTTTTGACATCAAATTGCGAGTTTTAAGCGTTAATGCCCGTCATGCCGGGAATACGCATGATTCCTTTATTTGGAAAAATTCTGCTATCAGGAGAGAATTACAACGGAATTACGAAGACGGACAAATATGGAAAGTACTGGCAGATTCCGGCTACCCTTTAGAGCCATGGACTCTAACACCTGATCTTCATGCGCCATTCAACTCTTCAGCTTGGCGATACACACAAGCACACGCAAGAGCACGAAACTGCGTCGAAAGGGGCATTGGAAATCTTAAATTAAGATTTAGATCAATAATGGAAGAAAGAATTCTAAGATATGATCCTGCTTTCGTTGGTCTTCTTGTCAATGCCTGCTGTACCTTACATAACATATGTAAATTCGGTGGAATGGCAGATTTTCCAGTAGGGAATATCAGGCACAGAAATCATCCCCCTTTAAGGCAAAGAAACAGACTTCATGCGGAAGGATTAAGAATACGCCAAGATATTATTAACAGATACTTCTGAATATAGTATAAGTGGAAGAAGTGAGAATTCTAAAATGAATAAGCTCATTATCACAAGTGACGTCGAAATATAAATATTCATAAATCGTAATACCTTGAAATTTTGATAAGTAAAATTTACGATTAAATCAATATAAATATAATCTCTTAACAATTGTCTTTACCTAATTGTATAATTCAATAAATTGAAAATTATTTTCAGTTTTATTTTTCTATTACATATAGTTTCAATACTATATGCCTCCGATTGTACATTTTCAACTTTTTTTAACTTCTTTCCATAAATGCAACTTTTTTCGACTTATTTCAATAGGATTCAACTCTTTTGATTTGTTTTGTAAAAAATGAGATTTATTTCAGATTTTATAGCATAAAAGATAACTGATTTATTTATTAAATTTTTAATAATAAAACTAGACATGAACCAAAAAAATAGTTTCGAATATTTTTTGAAAATTAATTTTTACGTTAGATTTTTTTTAATTTATTATTTAAAATCTTTAAAATTTTTTCCACATATAAATTTTTTTTATTATTTGTCTCAACAATTTATAAATAATTGTTCTTAAATTAAATTAATTCACGACTTTTTCGACTTTCTTCAATTAATGCAAATACTTTTATTTATCTAAATAATATGTGACTTTTTCGACTTTTTAAAAACAGTTTTGAAACAAAAAATACGACTTAAAAAAAATTACATAAATAATAATAAAATAAATAAATATCTACTATAAAAATTTTACATTAAATTCTATAATTAATAGAAATAAAATAATACAGTAATACAATTTACTATATTCATAAGTATCTGTTAATAAAATTTACCTTTTTCCAAAATTCAGTTATTTAAATTAATATTAACTTGAATTCATCGCAGAATTAATTATTTCTAATAAGTTTAATCAAGATTTTCGAAAATCTAATTATTTTAAACATTTTTTAATTTAAAATTCTTTAACATTCAATTATCTTCTGACTGATTTTGTTTTACTTCAAAAGCAGGGGGCCAGTTTTTAAAAAATCAAAAAACTAAATTTTCTTAAAAAGATCATTTTATATTTTCATGAAAATGTTTTTGTGGATACTAGAAAAAAAAGAATTTTTTCACTAAAAGAAGCAGTTTTATGTTCGCTAATATAAATATATAAATTCTGACTGCGTTTATGTGTGACAAATTTCCAAGCTCTCTGAAGAATGTTTATTATTTTTTAAATATATATGTTTTCAATAATATCTTCAGTAAAACCATTTATTTTTTCTAACAAAAAATATATTAATTAAAAAGACAAAAATAATTTCAGTTAATTTTCCCAACTAAAAGATGGCATTGTATCAACCAAAGTAACGACTTTTAACATTTTCAGAATAAAAAATAATTTTTGCGATTTTAGCGACGTTTTAGTGGATACCAAAACCTATTTGTAAGAGTTCTTTTTTATTATCTAGTAACCCCAAAAAAATTTTCAAGTTAAGAAAAAATTATGTTTTTTAAGAAAATCAACTTTTTTGAGTTTTAAAAAAATAACCGCCATTTTCTTAATTTCCAAAAAAATTTTAAATTCTAAAGATATGGCGCTACATTACACAAAATAATTAGTTTTGTTATTTTCAGAAAAAATTGGTGTCTGAAATTTGTCGCTAAATTAATTATTATTTAAATTATTTTAATATAATTTTTCAAAAATTGAATATTTCAAAAAATTTAATTCTTAAAATTTTAACTGCAACATTTCCAAATTTCGAATTATTTCGAAAATTTTTACTAGGAACATTATTTTTTTTTATAATATTTTGATTAAATTGTTCGAAAATTGTATTAATTAAATATATTCTTATTGAGGAATTAATAAAATTTATTCCTATTTTTAATTAATTTACTAACTAATTATATTTATAAAAATAAAAAATCGACCTTTCTTGCAAAGCAAATCGACATTTTTCTACTCACGAAATTTTCTGAAAATTCTACAAATTTACTAAAGATATTATATTATTAAGGAATAAAGGAAGACCAAAAATAGAAAGTGTTGTAATTTTTTGTAAAACGGATATTTTGAAATTGACTTGAATAAATTTAAGAAAATTTTGTGTCTACTAAATATTGGGATCTGACATTCGTACACATGCCATCTGGTGTTGAAAAATGTAACTAGTTTTGGATAACTATTTGTGTCACTTGCAATTGTAGCTCCGCTGTCATTGTTAATTATTTTATTATTATGAATGAAGCTACATTTTTACCGCGTGAGAAATCTTCCTGCAGAATTAAGTGTTCTGTGAGAGGCTGTGGCAGTACTGTAGCGAAAAATTTAAGCGTAATTTTCCATAAATTTCCGAAACCAAAACAACGAGTAGTGGATGTGAAAAATACGTTCGATAATTTTGAAAAAGTCGATCAATTAAAGGCCTGGAAAAATGCTTTAAAAATAAACAGTATAAAGCCTTCTATGAGAGTATGTTCTCTGCATTTCAAAAGAAGTGATTACATTTTGCCATGTAAGTTTAAGATTTTTAAATTTGGAGGTTATATAATCTTTCATATTACCCGTGCATGTGAACATTTTGAAAGTTAATTTATCACTGTAAAAACGGATAAATTAATTTTT